GGGTCACTGTATTACCTATATAATATAAAATATAAAATCTTGATAATGCACACTTAGATGATTTTCATATGTTTACAAAATGTATTTGCTGTTTTATTTTTTATGCAAACAAAATTGCAATTGTGTTTGTAGTTTTCAATGTAAAACTTGTTGAAATGGTTTCAGTATCAGTACATTTTAATCTGTTTTGGCACATTTTTACAATACCGTGATAATACTGATAACCGTGATAATTTTGGTCACTATAATCATGATATGAAATTTTCAAACCGTTTCATCCCTACTTTTGATTGTGATTTTTGGTATAATAAAGAAACCCATTGTAATTGCTGTGCATACAGAATGATATAATCGCTAATGCCGTCCTTACAGCGAATTTTAGCAGTGGCGCTATTGTACATAAAGTGGACAGAAAGATTTGAGTTGACATGAATTGCTAAAAGCAGCACGAATTGAGGCGTAAACTCGGTCACAAAATATTTCAATAAGAGCGAAAAATGTGTGTTTCCAAAGGATTACTCAAACTTTAATTAATACACAGACAATAAAAAAATTGAGGGATCTGGAGGAAAATACCAGAAAGGCTGCACTGCTGGTGCGTAGTTGGTAGCTAACTTTCAGCTAATGTGTGTACATTTGCACAATGGCTAGGCAAATAAACTGAGGCTGCAAAAACAATGCTAATTTGTACAATTAACGCAACACAAAAATTCACTTGTGTTGAGTCTGAACCCGCCTTTATGGACGGTGGAGCAGAAACATTTCTTTTAGCCAGTAGCCAGCACCACAAACTGCAAAACTAATATATATATGTAAACAGAAAATATCTCTGGCTGTATTGACTCACTTCAGTAATACACCTCTGGCCTACTGTAGTGCTCCTTGAAATCTCCTCGTGCTAACATGCTGTATGTAACTGAGGGAACTGAAGATTAGCATATGACATGACAGATTACATTAAATCATGTCTGCGACGTACTTTATGACATTAGCCTCTTAGCCCAGGCATACAGATGCATGCAAATGCTCCCCCAAACCCTCTTATTTAAATCTGCTGCATGACACGGCACCTTTGATATGATTATTAGTCATCTAAGCGACTTGACTTCACCCTCATCAGATAGGAGATGTCAGCGAAGGTGAGAAATGATGGCCACTTTGAACATGAACCCTGACAAGCTGCGGTGAAACACTGAAAAGCAGACGACTGGCTGAAAATATTATTTAACAAAGGATGTGAACGTGGGTATTTTTTTCTTTCTTACTCTGCTGTGTTCACTTGATTTCCTCGTAGAAGGCTTGAAACGCTCTACAAAAAGCCTCTCCGTCTCAAATATAGGAGAAGTCATTGTGAATGTGGTTGTTCTTTTCATGCTATCCAACTCATTAGTAACAGAAGTCAGTCTATCTCAGTCATAACTGCTGCCCAGATGGCTCTCCAATCTGCCCCATGTAAAGAGTGAATCATCATAATCACACATAATCTGGTGTTTAACACATGCCTTTTGCTTCAATTTTTTAAATTATACACTACAGTAATACATAAATCAAGCTCTTCCTTTTTTTAGATCTGCAGTTGACACAGAGATTGTGAGTTGTCATGCAGTCTGTAGGAATTGAGGGATCTTGATAATTCAAGCTCATTCCAACTGTTAGTCACATCCAGTGTTTGCATACAGTGATACCCGCAGTCTCCTACTCTTTGGGGAGGTAGGGATTGTAGATACTTCTCTCCAATTATTCCCAGTGTCATCGGAGAAGCCCCCAACACCACTCGAGTGTCTTGTCTGTGCTCTCTGGTCTTTAATCTTAATTATAAAGCTATCATTACAGCATGAACCCTGGGCTGCCAACAGTGGAGCCCTGGGCTCATCTGCTCCGAATCAATCAAACCAAGTTCTGCACTGGAGGACTTTTTCTCTTTTTTCAATCAGGGTCATTTTGATTCTCCCTTATCTCATTTTCATAATTATGCTTGTCCCCTCTCTAATGGAGTGAAAATTCTTTACCTCCCGAAGCTTTGGTGGTCAAGTCTGAATATTTAAACTGTGTTGCAACCTTGAACGTCTGACCTTGCTTTAGAACTTTGTGACAATAACTGTTTTTTTATTTTTGGTAGCAAGGGGAGCTTCAGTGAGTAATCCAAAAGATCAGAGTTTGTTCCCTGCCGTGCTTGTTAATAGAGACTTGTTAATAGTGGAGGATGAGACAAGAACAAAATAACTTCAGCAGTTTATTGTTTATGAGAATGTGTTAGATATGGAGTTATGTGTCTGTGAAACGCCCTCATTCACACTCAAATTGTCAGCTTCTGCTGTAAATCAAGCCACTAAAATTGGATGACAGAGAGAAAGTTGGCAGCAGCCAATGACAAATTCTCCCTATCTCAAGCGCAGCTGACATCTTAAAGCTGTGATCAAGTGGAATGATCTAAGGCGTTCAGTACTCCATTGAGAAGTACTGTATATGTGAGTGTGTGTGTGGTGGAGAATGGTTACGTTTTATATTTCCTTATTCAAAAAGTGAGGAGAATTTAGATTTTGGTTCAGCTAAAAGAGGAAAAAAGTAGGTTTATTGTGCTGTGAATGTATTTGTAGAAAGACCAATTAACTGCGTGACTTCTAGTATATTTTGAGTTCATGGTAAACATGAGTGGGACATAATCTGTTCGTTTTCAAAATTCCAAATGTAGTATGCATTATCCTCTGGTCTCCAGTTGAAATTCATGAAAGAAACAATCTCCTAATATAGAGCTACAGTTTCACAGATCATCAGTGATCTTATGAACTTCCAGTCTACAGTGGAGAAACTCAAACAAAATCCTACACAAAGTCATCCTGTGAGTCACATCATTCATCATTAAAGACGATGAAACAGATCAAAGCTTTTCAGCTTTCAACAGGCACTGCTGGTACGGTATTGCTTCCCACTGTCCATGCCACCTAGTCATAGCACAAAGGGAAAAAAGCCTGACAAGTGAGCATATGACAGAGAAGATTAGGTGGAGTCCATAGGTCACATTTCTTTAATGCGCAAACCCTCTAAAATACCTTTTATTTCTGTCTGGAAGAAAGCGAAAGCCTCAGTCTAATGCGATAGAATGGAGGTCCTCATTGGTTTTAAAATATGCAAAGAAGCACATGCTAACATTAACCACTGCCTACATTATTTATCCTCCTGAAAAGTGTTTTATCAGCACTAGGCCTGCTTTACTTTACTTTTAAATATTCAAATTAGAGCGGAACTAAAATATCTATCATGCAAGAAAAGGGCACTTTTACTTTTGATTTTAAAATTAAGCACACGATTCTCGTATGTTTGGTTAAAAATAGTTTGGTTTCTTGCAAATTCTGTAGAGCTGCATTTTTTAAAAAGGAATCGCCGAAGGCCTAACTACACATATTGATCAATATTTTTTTCTGTGTGGCTGAAATACAAAAAAGTCTGCTCACAGTAAAATGAGACATTCAGTTTTGACTGAAGGAAAGCTCAAACTGATTTAAGTGACAAAATAAAATATCTTGTTGTAATGATGTTTTTTAGCATCATAATAATATTAAAACAACCTATGACTGGTCAGCCACACAGCTGAACTGAAATATGTGAATTCCAAGATTACCTTGTAATGCAAGGACTGTATTTCCTAAATGTAGTTCCACTTTGAGCAATGACTTCAAAATGTTTGTGAGAAATGAGAGTGAGCTTGAAAATGTACTAAAAGCTCGGTATCATAGTGTGTGAGAGAGGTTCTTAAACAAAATGTGTTTTCCACAGTAACACCATAAGGTCATAAACTAACAGATTAATCTCTCGCAAGTTACTTTGTGTCCATTTCTTAGTCTTTAGTGGTTGATTCTTTCCCTGATGTGGACTTTATTTACATGGCAGGAGGTTTTAGAGGGAGAGGGAAAAGCTTTTACTGTGGTTTACATTGGCCATGTATCACTGGGCTTACTAAAAACTAAAGAGCTGTTCCTTGCTTTTTAGCACTCAGTCTTTTCCCCCGCTCTTTATTCCCTAACACCCATCACAAATTTGGTCTGGTATGTGACTGCTAATTTATCCTTTCAATGTATGATATCCTGTCATCTCCTCATTTGTCCCTGAGTGTTTCTAATCTGAGATAATCCCAGTCAAATCCTTTGATTGTGTGTTTGGACCTGATCCATCTCTAAAGAAGCAATTTAATGGGCTTCATGGCACTTGGTGTAAAGTCATTTATCTAGTGGATTGGATGTGAATGCTTGTTTTAATAAGTGCTCTTCATGAATAGTAGGAGACTGGTCATTTAATTAGGCAGAGTGTAGACCTATTCCATCCCTACAACATCTTTTTTTTATTTGGAGCTGAGTGCTTGTTAGAGAAGCTTTGGAACGCCTAAAAAAACTCCGCAAAAAACTGGGCACTCATTTTATGCCATATTTATGATATCTTTTGGTAGATTTAAACAATAAGTTTGGGAAACCTAACGCTGCCTGGGGAGTTACTGGAATGATAACCCAGGACAGAGTTGCCACGTTTTCCCAAACCTATAGCAGCATTTGGCTCCCACACAGTCCTGAATTAGCATTTCTATAACCCCACAAAATAATGTAGTTTGATAATGATGTGGATTTGAAACTAGTGCTAGCTTACTACATACAGTTAGTTACTTTCTCATAACTGATATTTAACTATTTTATCTAATTATTAAATTTTATCAAATTTTTGTCTTTTACATTTTGGATTTTATTTGTTTTTATTTCTGTTTTACTATAAACTACTTTGTAGCTTTTGTTTATGATGTTTTATTTTATTTATAAGCAGCCATCCATTGATAGAAACACACCAGCAACCAATTGTAACATTACTATCTGCTTTTTCCCCTTTACATGTTTTTTTTTTTTTTATGATAAAAGACATCATTCCGTTGTGCAAGATTGAAAATGAGCATTTCACACAATTTCACAAGTTTTTTTTTTCATTGTATGATTTGTATTCAAATTGATTTTCTTTTGCAGCTCATAACATTTTTGGACAAGTCAGGTAGGGAACCTACTACAAGATCATTTTACATTGAATCTTTAAGCTTAACAGAAATAGATAAAAACTGAAATCAGTTCTTAGGAGACCTGAAACATAGTCTGGTAAGGGGACAAATAATGCCACAACTGGGGAACCTTCCAGTGATATTTGCAACCAGTTAATATGCAGAAAGATGTGTGGGGAAATTCTAAAATCTGTTAGTCATTTCCCAGCAGTGAGCATGCATGATGGTTTGTTGCAACACAGTGTTTTTTAGGAAAGCAATCTCTTCCATTATATGCCCCTCCTTCATTACGTAACCTTATGCTTTTTTCCTCTAAACAAAGCAATGCATGCAGTTGAAAATAACAAAAATCTACTTTTGCAGTGTATTACAATCATTGACTTCTCACTCACATCTATTTTTAGACTCCTTTAACAGCGAATGCACCAAGCACCATTCCACTTCCTGTCCTGACGTGCCCCAGTGCGCAGCTGGGATTGGCTGCTCGTCTTCACAACTTCCTCAAGAACAAAAACACAGAGCGATCAGCTGACATTGAGTGCAGTAGTAGAAAGTACAGATATACAGGAGTAAATATATGTTTTGACTCGTTGATTTCTCTCTTATTGTTTATATAATCTCACCGAGAGAAAACATAGGAATGTTAGCAGGAAGTGGGGGAAACTGCTGGTATCCAGAAGCACTCGAGAGTGAGTGGAAAAAGTCGTCTCTCAGCCACAACAAGAAGTGAAAGATGGGCAGTGAGTACCAACCACTGTCTTCAGCAGAGTCATGCAGAAGCTTATTAACAGGTACGTATGTCCTAAACTGAAACATGTACTACACTTAGGGCTAGATGTTTTATACATTCATTAATTAGAATAATTACTGTTAGGCTGTACATAAGTAAACAGTGGCAGTTAAAGGGGCACTCCGCTGATGTTGCACATGAAGTTCAGTTTACTCGTCACAGAGAGTAATCCTCAGCCCGTGAAAACAGTTAGCCTATATATTATCTGCTGTGGCTCTGGAGGGAGCTTTCAGAGTCTGAAGACCGCAAACTTATAACAGAAAGGCATGAAGTTTGAAAGACCTGGACATTAACCAGCCAGGTAGGGTCTAATTAATGGCGGTATTGAGTTGCGTTGTGGGAAATGAAAAGCTCTGCTGCTTTGGCCATTCTTTTTAAAACTGCCCCTCGCAAGTCCTAACTGTATCGAAGTACAATACTAAATTGCTGGAATGCGTCTTTAACTTATGTGCCCTTAAATTTGGGGAAAATATTGTGCCGAGAATTTTGGGCCAGTTAGGACTGATATCCTACTCTGAGCATGAAATGTTTCTTCATACATAGATTATAAATGTCAAAGTAGTAAAGTGCTGTAAATGTGAAACATATTAAGAAAATATGAAATTATCCCTTACTTCCTTTTCCCTTGTTACTTCAGACTTGATATCAGTTAAAATATCAACAGATATACGGTGGAGAAAGAGAAACTGAGAAGGATTTTGAGTTTTTGATCATGGAAAAGATGCACCTCAGTACCAGGCTCATGTCCCTAATATTGTCCACTTTCAGTTAACTCTAGAATTACATTTTGGAAGTGGGATCACGTTATAGTGCAAATAAATAAACAGAGTTGAATTCACATTGATCAGTAAAACACTAATCCCTGCTTCCATCTAGAGGTGCTCTAGGCCTGCGCTTGGAAGTCATGACGGCTGTGGTGTTAACTTACCAGTCCCCCAACCCCCACCCAACCCCACCCCCATTGTAGCCAGATGGCTGTCACACAGGCGGTTCCTTGCTCAGACCATGCTGATTTCCCATCATTCTTTCGTTAATGAGGTCGTTAGCAATGCAACGGACAATTAAATTATCTCAATCTGGCATTTTCCTCATTTGTTTACTGTATAGTGTACTGTACTCCTCAAATAACACTGCTCAGTTTGACTGCTTCTGTTGAGAGCATGGCCTCTATCTTTCTATCATTTTCTTTCTTATGATTCATGGTACTGCAGGGAATTAAAACATCACTGAGAGACGCCCACTACTAAAGCCATTTTCAGGCAGTCAAGTAGTATAAACAGAGCTCTTGACAGAGTTCGTGTTGGTACATTCTCATCTGTGATAGTGGGAGATCAGCGTCTCCAGCTGACAAACTTTGTTTTAGTACATCATCACCCTGTATGGAAACAACACAGCCCGGGGCTGCTGCTGCTGCTGCTGCTGCACAGAGGAAGTTTTGTAAGCTGTTAAAACGTGTAGAGAGGGTGACTTCAGCCAGTTAGTTGAGCACTCACCTTCATGTGAAACGCTGCCGAACACTGACACCGCTGACAGTTAATTATGGGAGGCACAGATCACGCAGACGTGGCAGCTCGGCTGCGATTGACGCGCCGCATGTTTACATCTCTGTTGTAATGTTGTTTTCCAGTTATTTTCTCAGCAGCAGTGCATCCGTTACTTAGCTCCAGAAGGGCCCCGGGGCTTGCCATAATGATCGTAAAAGCAGTACAGATTCGGAGGAATGAAATGTTAAAAAGGACGTGGGTATAATTGGTGAACCTGCCATCACACTAACTTTGGAAATATTTTCGGTCAGGCTGTTGAAAGACACAGACTGCCTGATAGCTAGACTGTCATTCTCTATATGTATGTCCCTGCATGGCTCCATTATTTTCTGCAAACCCTTCTACACATACAAAGATATTTTGACAATGAGTGAAAACTAAACCTGATGGAAAGGAAGCAAACATATGAATTTTGACAAACAGTAGTATTCAGAAAGTGCTTCACTGGAATGATTTCCATTAGTAGGCCATGTGGTTGGTGTCAATAACAGGGAGGTAAAGGAAGTGGCAGCCAGACACCACATATTTATCTAAAAATGCCCGATTTTTGACTTAACCAAACTGGGTGTTGAGAAAAAAGTTTATCTGGCTTTTCTGTTTCACGGCTTGTCTCAGAGATATTAATGCACGGTGAGATATATGCCTGGTCAGTAATAAAATCTGCTTACACAGGATGAAATGGGTTACATTAAAAATCCACCCTTTGATTAAAAGATTTTTCATCTGAAGATAGAGTTTCACCTGAAGCAATCCAGGCCCAAAAGAGACAGGCGCTTCTGAGGCAGCAGTTTATCCCCCATCCAGGCAAGCGCACAGATGACAGCTAGCCCTCACTGCTGTCTCCCAATGTTTTTATGGGATGAAACCAACAAATCTGGCTTCTAGCTACTGTCCAATATGTAGCATCAAAAATTAACGGAAATATTGGCGAGCTTTGCAAGTTAAACCAGAGATGCTGGTAGCAAAGGAGCATAAAACTATTAATGGATATTGTGGCTATTCCCAGACCTGGGCTAGGACCACGTCTGGCAGCGCATGATATAATCCACTGCTCACCTTTACCACTCTTTAGATTTCATGAGCTAATTTAGAGAAATTATGAAATATCCACTAAAACAAATTGGTGAAACACCTTGTAATTACATGTTAGTGTAAGTTTACATATTTGCCTGTGTTCTGACTGGTGACCTGTCAAGATAGCACTCTGCCCAGTGCATGCTGGGATGTGCTTCAGCCCCACGCAACCCTGAATAGGATAAGTCTGACATTTGCACATTAGTGGTTGATGACATTAAAGGTCCCGTATGGACCATTTGTTCACACTTGAAGATTTCAGAGCTGCTCTAACTGACTAATAATTGTATGGTACAACTTTTGGTAACCTTGGTGAACTCAAACTGTCCACTCTGTAAGGATAACGTTGGAGGACAGTGTTTACTTTATTGAGTTATTTCTTTATTGAGTCAGATTAGATGTATTTTCATTTATTTTTCATATTGCCTCTAGTTTATCAAGAACAATACAAAATTCCATTTAATCTTCAAACAGCTGCTAAATGCTTGTGCATGGCAAAGCAGTGAGGACTTAAGACAGGTAGTCCTCAGAAAATGTGGAAGTTACTGGATATTGAAAATTCAGCCTGATGACTCACCAATATGTGGAATTCCTATTTACTACAGCATTTCCAATATAAGGCATTTTTTCCTGTAGATATTTCTTAGCTCTGCAAATTACAAGTTTGAATAAAACCAGTTATTTTTGGTCTGAAGTAACAAACAAAAAGAAATAACCTGTAGCAGCTTCTTTTTCTGCACGTAAATCAAATAATGGCACCATTAGCAAAGGACAAAACAATCCAAATGTGGAACAAGATTCCAGCAGTTGAAAATAATTATTAAATATAAAACTGTATTTTGTTTCTCATTGTCACTCTCACCTCTGCACCGTTGTTTTTATTGTCTTGTCAGGAATGTCAACATGCTACAATTACCTTTAAAGCCCAGATTCACTTCGCCTCACTCCCACTGGGAACAAAATAAAAGTCTTTTGCTCGAGTAGCTGTACAGTGTGTGCTGAATGCTGGAATAGGAAATCAATTGTAGTATAAGTGGGAATATGGGGAAATATGGGAATTCTAAAAAGGAAAAAAAATACAATCGTTTACAACTATGATCAATTCTATGTCAATTAAAAGATTTCCTGGCCAGCACTGAATCTTAACATGAATCTAGGATTAGCTTTTGATGCAGTGTGAACCATGTATAACCTCTATCTGCTCCTCTTCTTCTACAGAGACTTCAGAGTGCTTTATATGCAGGGATGTTGAACTTCAAGCCAGTGACCCACTGAGGAATTTCTGTGACTGCAAAAATTTACTTTCCCATCACGTGTGTCTGTCCACATGGATCCAGAAGGTAGGAAAGAGGGAATCTTGATATTTTGAACTTCAGTTCACACCAACATTGGATGTATGCATAGCGTCCCACTGTGGTCTCTGGTAAGGCCAGATACTCGTCAGTCCTTTTTCCTCATCAGCCATTTGTCGAAAGTAAAGGGGGAAAATGTCTGTGTTGGATTTCTAAAAGTGAATAAATGCGTTTGCCATGTTAACATGCCTTATTGAGACAAAACTTTACTGTTTGCCTCAAGGTAATGAGCTACCTTTCAAATAGCAATACCAATTAGTTTTAATGAGGGTTGCTAACTATGGTAACACGTCATCATTATGCAGTTGAAACTCAGAGGCTGAAACAGTGGGAAGTGCCACATAATGGACTGGCAGAAATCCAGGAAGCTATCATGCACCAGACACCTGTCACCTACCGCAAAATGGCTCATTAACATCTGTAGCACTCCTTGAACCAGTAGTTTGTATTGATACAGCGGCCACTGATGTGGTGGTGTTTTTGTAGTGCACCACCAAAAAGATCACTTTGCACTCTTCTCAGTTAATGAAATGTAAGTTTCTGTAGGTGGCATTCATTTCTCTTTCTGTTCAGCCATGAACATTAGCATGAGCAGCAATAAGCACTATTGCTGCTCATGCTAATTACTCCTCCTCCATTAATTCCCAGCCAACTGCTGCTGCTGCCAGTATTGTAAAAATGTATAATTGCCTCTATATAAGTATTTCCCCAGAAGTAAAAAGTAAAAGCTAAAAAGTAAGTGAAGAGGTGTGTTAATGTGGAAATGTAAATTTCACTGCCTCAGCTGCAATTTTTCACATAAGTAATAAACCTCTGTCTGCTAATGAGCATTATGTAACATAATGTGCAAAAAGTTTGCATGGACAAAAGATTTACTGATACACTGTTCATTTATACATACGTAATCACTGTTCATCTACCTTAAAAGGCATCATAATAATCACATTATGATACTACTAGCACTGTCTGAAAGCCCTGGGCATCATGGCATACATTATTGTATAAGTTAAAGCTGCACTCATCCTATGTGTAATATGAAAAGAGTAGTTATGAACCCACAGAGACATATTAACCAACTCTTTTTGCATTTCATAGCCCATTATTTGGCAACTTTAATGTTTTGGTTCATCACTCTTATCAATCCAGTTTCAATAGCAGCAGATTATCTGCAAAAAAGCTCGCAAAAACCTACCGTTAACTATGAACACAAAATGGCAAACTGACAAAGTACGTGAGTAGCTTGTGAAAATAGTGGAGCATTATTATATGTAGAGTGGAGAAGAGCCAGATATTTATTATTGTACTATTGTACTCCAAATGAATGCTAATATTGCTTTGGTCTGCTGAATGCACATGAACACATTCACCATATCAACATTACAAAGACAAAGGTCATTGTCAAGCATATCAAGCATAGTGTTAGTTCAGGCAAGCAATGAAGTCAAGTTCAGCTCACAATCCCAGCACATCAGCTGATAGCAGCCATCTTAAGCCAGCCACATCAGCTGATTAATCTCCTAGCATTCATTGGCAAATTCCATACAAGGCGCCTTATTTAAGCTGCCGTAGCCTGCCTGCCTGCCCTCGCTGCTTCCTCAGCAACAGCTCATAAATCAACTCCACCCCAGCTCTACCTTTCAGGCGGTATCTGACAGGGATGTTTGATAATTATTGATCTGATTGGGTATATTTCATTATCGGAATCAAATCGGGAGATGAATATTGGCAGAGAATTTAGCTGAAAAGAATCAACAATGCTAACATGCGCCGCTGCTGTTGTTGCACTCTGGCCGTCATATTGCTGCTCATGTACAGGCAGCTAGCTCCTGATCACTGCAGGTAACTACGTGCCAATTTGAAGCAACATGGCAATCTAAGCTAACAGTTAAATTACAGCTTTACATTTAGCTTGTTGAACATCTAGCTAATTGCCATGCTAGCCTTAGCTAGGTGTGAATTTATAATAGAGGATGAGAGATGTGGACAGAGCAGATCAAATACCACCTTTAAGCTGTTGTGCTTGTTAAACAGATGTATCGATAAGTATTGTCTTTTACTCGGGAGGTTCTGTTGCACCTACTACAATAACGAGGGTAGCTGTTGTTTCCACCGTATCTCTGCGCTGGCCGCTGTGTGTGAGCAGCAGAGGCTACAGCCTGATAATAAACAGTTCGGTCTTCAGCCCAGGGCCCGTTTACACAGTGTTTCAGTGCCATCTTTTATCTTATGTAATTCACCATGCCTGCTCTGTTCTGTACAGGGGTTCTTTACTGCTGCTCTCTGCCTTGGGTGGGCAGGGAAGTGCTCTCCCTGCCTTATGGCTTTTCCATGTAGACATGTGGAAGGGCAGAGAGGTGTGCTCCCAGAACAGAGCCATACCAAACATAACTACAATGCCACAATATCAGTTCTTTGATGAAAGCTGTCCTGACTGAAATGTAATTTTTAGCTTGCTGTGGAATTCTGCCCCTAAGTTGCAAAACATGATGTAGCTTTAAGCATGTGGTTTAGATGCAAATATAAAATAGAGAGCCAGTTAAAAGTGGTCCACCAATTTCACTAGTTAAGATTAGTTACTAGTGATGGGAGTACTAATCAGCCTGTCAAAACAGTTGTATATAGTCTAATTTTACACAAGGGGACCTTTGTCAAGTCAGAAAAATAACCCTGATGAGGTCATCAGAGTTATCTAGGTTTGGGCTTTGAGACAAACTTTACATTTTTGTTCTATACATTTTTGAAAATGATGAAAGACTGTATTAAAAACTAGGGGCATGGAGTCTGACTGGAGAGCCATAGGCAGATAAACTGAAAATGAATTCAATCAGTGTCACTTATACACTTTCGGACTGTACAATATCTTTACGTATGTTTTTTCAGAATGCCTGCTTCCATATGAGAGTGCAACTCTAAATAATAACATCTAGATCTAATCTGTAATCTGTATACTGTGCATAATAGAGGAATTAGTTATTATCATGGACAGTCATTGTATATTAATAGTATAAAGTATAAAATGTGTGTCTGCTGTTGAATCTTTTGCTGTTGTGCCGTCCACAATTGTGAGCTTTGGGCCTCTTTGGATACTCCACAAGTGGTAGACAACACGCTACAACAGACCTTTCATCTGCACCACCCAGCTGTCAAAGTGAAGAGCCACTTCCATTAAGTGTGTGTCTTCCCACTATACAATTATATACAGACACACGAGCTCAGGCTCATGAAGCAGGCACACGTAGCACACACACACAGAACCCCGCTCTCTGCTGAGAGTGTGTGCTGGTGCTGCAAAACTACTTTAGTTTTTGTGTGTGTGAGAGAAGCAGACAGAAAGCAAGAGAGAGGGAGAGAGAGAGAGCGTTCGACCTTTTAGAGTGCTCAGGGTAGGGAGCCCCTTTCCCTTTTACAGAACAGAAATCAGCAATTGACCTGTCACTTTTGCTCTGATAGCCATCTCTGGAAAGCAGGTCATGCACATATGTCTAAAGTGCCTCTTAACCGCATCTTATGAAGCCAGAAAATGTAATCCAATAATGATTTGACTTGTGTGTGTGAGAGAGAGAGAGAGAGAGAGAGAGTCAGCCAGCTGGGAGTGATAGCATGCACCGTTACCACTCCTAAAAGCAGCTTGAACAAAAAAGGGCAAATTCCACATTCTTATTTAATTTCACCCACAACAGTATCACACTGATGTTGTCACTAAACAGCGGGCCGGCTGAATTCATACACAACAAAACAGCACTGGCATTAATTTCCACAACTGCTGATACATACTTCAGCATGTCTGCAGCAGAGGACTATCTGAATGATTATCATCTGCACTGAGGCAAACCATACGCTATCTTTTTTTAGGCTGCCTCATTTGTGCCCCCCCCCCTTTCCCAGGTTCCCAAAGACAAATAGCATGGCACAAAACTAATTAGTAACCAGGAACTAGTTAGGAGATGCCCTTTGAAAAACATGTCCTGAGGCAGGATTTAAATATAGGGACAGAGTCAGTGACTGAGTGTGCCTGGGAGATCCCGTCCTCCAGGCGCGTCAGCACTTTGACCCCTGACCCTCATTATAGGGAGTGCATTCCTAGAGGGGTGAAACCCCTCGCAGCTCACAGTACAAGGGCATGAGAGGACTGTATGGCTAGTACCGCACCAGCCCAGTGTGGCCTGGTGTATGTCACTGCCCAACCCAACGACGGCTTGAGAAAATACAGAACAATGACGCTGGCTTTTGGAAAGGAATGGTGCTGGATACACTCGCTATCCCGATAGATAAATATGTTTTTCATTTTTATACATCTGGTTTAAATCTTTTGAAGTAAATGGCAATGGTATTCTTCAAAAAAGTGCTCTTCAGAATTTGCAATCCTATCCATGTGAAATAAAATACAGGGTTTTTAAAATGCTAACGGGCTTGCTAGCTAAATATACTAAAGAAATATACACTGATGCAGTTGAGAGGGAAGTATTGACCCAAGTGTGAGCAGATGAAAATTTACATGTTGACATGTATTAGATATGTTTTTCACATGTGATGTAAGTATATTTGTGTGTGTTCATGTCGGCAAGCATGCCCTTGACTGTGAGTGTGCATGCTTATATTTCCATTTAATTGCAAGTGGTGTGAATAGTGAGTTAAGACCACCCACCCCCACCCCCCACCCTCTCTTGCTCTGTCTCTCTCTCTCATGGGTTGATAATTCTCATCACTGCAAACAGACTTAGTTTACATTCATTAGCCCAACACTCAGAGCAATCAGGCCACAGTGCCAGGGGCAATGGTCCTCTTTATAAAATCACATTGCCTAATAGCAATGTTCTATAATTATATGCCATTAACATCTATCAAAATGTGCTCCTACATGCCATGCATATTAGCTGTGGGATTTGGCAGTTTGTGTTTGTACAAGTGCTTTTCTTGTTATTAGCATCTTCAGATAGTTAGCAACAGCTTGAAAATTATTGCCAGCATGTCATTTGTGTTTCATGCCCAGTTCTGTCATTTAAAGTGGTAAAACAACATCTAGTGACTATCAATTACTATACCTACGTTGGCCTGGAGGTGCAAAACATAACAACAGTGGACAAAACACAATACCAAAATAAAAAACACAACAACATTTTTGAAAACACAACCTTCGGAAATGTTGTGTTGTTGTGTTCTCTGTTTTGTTGGGGTTTTGTGAAATGTAAAATGTTTTCTAAAATGTTGCGTTTTCTGTTTTGTTGAGGTTTTTAGCACTTTAATTAAATTAGCATTATTATGCATAATGTACCTTTGGATTAAAGATGCAATAACATTTTCCAAACAAACATAATTAGTTTATTGATCAAAACAGAAACAAATTATATGTCGTTCATGCATGTTTTGATGGTTCACTGTCACTAAATTACTTTTATAATATTATATTATACTGTTTCCTTACAGGGATGTGGGAGTGAAGACAGGCTGAGATGCATTGCCTGCAAAGCCAAGGTAAGTGTGTGTGTGTGTGTGTGTGTGTGTGTGCGTGTGTATGTGCGTGCGTGCGTGCGTGTGTGCGTGCGTGTGTGTGTGTAGTTTAAGAGTGGGGGGGTGTTATAAAAATTCAATGAGATATCTGATGATGTCTCACTCTTTTAATCTTACTGTGTGAAATGTAGGTAGCAAGCATTTAAACAAACACCGTTTAAGTCATTAAACAGTGGCTGCATCTCACAAAACAGATTTAAACAGCAGTTCCATAATACTAATGAGCAATCAGGTCTTTGTTTTGCTCTGTGATTTAGCTGATTTGCCAGAAGTCGTGTTGCTTATGAGCTGTAAGCTGTCTTTTATTCCTTATTATTGCAGCAGAACACTCGCTGCGGAATAGGAGGGAGAAACATTACAATATTTGGCAAAGGATACAAGCCATGTAATGACAAAATCTGTATTCATTTCATGAGCAGAAATTAATCACGCTTTCCTGTGGAACATTCCTAATGCAAATTTTTCATCAACACATTGTGTCCTGTGTTTGTGAGTTTATTCGTATGAAATGGTGGAGCTTATGTGTCATCACAGATGGGGTTGCATGCTGGATAAGGTGGCTACATTACTAACCATCTCAGATTAGGAAGTATGCTGTTGATGTGTTGTATGTATTCATGCTTGTGCTGTGGGTCAAAGCATTGAAAGCTGGCTACTGAGTGTTTTATTCATTGTTTACTCTACAGCGGCGGTTTGAAAATGTGATCTTTGCTGTCTGTTCTCGTGTGTATGTATGGGAGGGGTCCGCTCTGTGGAAGAAAATGTCACAGTAACTCTGACAACGACCTTTCAGGATATTTTAAACATGAAACCATGCACATACAGAGATTCACAGACTGATGAAAGTTAAATGAAACATTTAGTCTGTGGGGAAGTATCCACTGATTCTTGTTATTCATCCAGGGATTTTTGGGTCTCCATTTGGGACCAAAGAGCAATTGGTCCCGTGTGTGATGTTGGTTTCTTTTATAGAAGAAAACATGTCTCTATTACACAGCTGGAGTTTGTTACCAACAGGGTGATGGGTATGTTTTTAGGGTAGCGTGCTGTTAGCTTTCATGGTGTGCTACTGACTGGAGGACATCAAAATCATATACCAAATTTAGCACTGATTCCCATTGGATTAGATTACCACCATAGACAGTATATAAAGTGAAGCCAAAACATCCTAATCGCTCCCTGGTGGCTGGCTGATGCGACATGGGCCAAAGTAAACCTGTCATTTAAGGTAGTTCTCATCATGCTGTTATGTGTCGTGTTCATTTTTCTGATACGTTTGGTTTAATTAGTTATTTGATACTATACAAAGGGGGTGTGATGCTATGATTGACAGCTGTGGTTGACAGCTGCTCTGAGTGAAGTAGTCGCAGAGGCTCCTGTGGACTACTAGAGTAGGAACATTGAGAGGAGATGTCACTGTAACTTAACCGTGATTGTTTAAAACCGACAAAATGAGTGATGAAATGAATGGCAGTAAACTGTACTAACTGACCTGAGGGATCGGAGGGATCTTTGCAAGCTATATTTTTCTAAGCTAATCATTAAGTTAATGTTATTAGCTAGCTAGCTATGACAGCCAGCAGTTTAAACTTAGCTTTGTGGGAAAAAAAGCACGTGATCGGTAGCCAACTATTGTTTAGTTTAGAAAATAATAAGGTAAAAATCTCAATCAACTTACTCAGTCTAAAGAAATCATTCTGCCGTGCTTGAACTTAAATTAAAAAGCCAGTACTGTTTTACAGCCATTAGTTCTGCATCACTGACTGCACTGGCCAGAAGGATTTTAAGACATGTAGCAATTAAGATGTGAGGGTGAGGAATTGAAACTGTTTTGATGAGAAACAGTCAAAAAGTCATCTGGCTTTTCTTAAGCTCCCTATATAGGGCTGAAATGCTTTTTGAATATCTAAAGCAGTATATTTCTGCCTTACTCCAGATATGAAAGTAGTAACATTAAGTACATTTGTTTAATTCTTTTAATAAAACTAAAACGTGCACCCCAACATTCCTTAGTAACTGGCGGTGGTAGAACACAGTACTAACCAAAGGACTCAAAACTTGCTTACAGTATTCTGTGTTGGCAATATTGATAATATTGTCAGTTTTTCATGCTAACCAGAAATTGGACTGAAATCCTCTGCCTTGATCCATGATAATATGGCTGATGTCCACAAAATTGAAAACACAAACTAGTGGAGTAGTTGCAAACTATTTTCAAAGACCTGAATATAAAACACAATTCATTCATTAATATAGCTTTCTATATTTTCTATATAGCTTTTCTATAAAAATGTATCTAATTTAATCAAAGCTGTCAGTAAGTAGCTGAACTGTTTATCTTCCTTTGTAACGTTGATTAAAACTAGTCAAAGTCTTGTGAGTAAGTAAGTGTTAGCTCTATACAGTCTATGCTGGAGTGAGACAAACCAAAGTGAGACAAACCAGCAGTTCCTGCATGCAGGTCTTCTAAACTTCAGTCAGTTTTGATAACAGGAATATTATTTATGTTGTATTGGCATTTTAGATTTGTTTCCAATAAGATATTACTGAATTTATACATTGACCTTGCTGCTGTAAACATTACTATTGGTGCTCTAGTTATTATTGTAATCCAGTTTTATTCCTTTTTAAATAATGTACTTTATAAAAAGCAATTATTTATTAATGGAAAAAAAACAAAGAGACTATTGATAAGAGTAGTTGTATTGATAAAATCCTAACAGTACCTATACATATGTATAACATAAAGAGCATGTTTTTAAATATACTTTTTTACTACTACTACTATTTAATATAATGACATTGCTTTTTAGCTATGGACAATTATTCACACAAAATGACAGGGCAGACCTCTCCTCAGGTTTGAGGCATAATCTTTGCAATTATCTACCATTGATTTTGATGATTCTTTTTCTTTTTTTATGTGATTACAGAAGCTTCCATCAGATTCAGACCACCTAGTGCAACATTATCCCATGTGTAGTACTCATCTACTTGTCTTAATATTGTAGTATATTTCTGTAGTAATTTGTAAATGAACAAATGGTGAAAAAAGCAAGTCTAAAATGCCCACTACGTATTGTCAGTGAAACCTGCAATTGTTTTAGTAAGAAAGAAATATGTTGGAGACATTTTGAGATGAACAAGTCAATATTAACTGAATAATAATGAAATATAATTGGCTTCTCTTATGTATCCTTATCCTGCTAGTCCTCTTACCTTACTTGTGTGCTGCCCTAAAAACCTGAAAAAAAGCCAACACTTTACTCTTTATGAATTATTTTACATGTGCTGTGTTCTGCTAATAGTGTGTAATGCTACAGTAAATACAAGGTCCAAGGTTGTTTGTTAGTCATTATACAGCACAAGGGTGCATAACGAAACGAAATTTGTAGTTCCTTCATGCTACACACACAACATATAATTAAGTGTAGGCCTATATTGAAATATGGTTACATATGAAATAAAATAAAACAACATATACAGTTATTTATATACATATATACATACACATATACACCCCGAACATTCCACAGTGCATTTTTTGAATTTGCATCTGGGGTGAATGTAAACAGCAGCAACCAGATGATAATATGAAAGTTTCATCCTCAAAATAAACCACCTGACACTTGAAACAGACTCTATCTGCGTTTGAGCATCAAGCATCATTGAAGTAAAACAAGTCCACCTCCTCTCATCTTGCCGGGGTCTTGCACACACCGCTCGGGACATGGACCACCTGCCGAGTGCTTGATCCGGGATGTTGATGGGGCAGGTCTCTGTAACGATGTCGGCACTACAGTCTCTGAATTCCGTTGCTTGGTCAACATGAGTCCCATTTTGTCCAGACTGGATCTTTAGGAGCAGAATTAAGTCCAAGCTGGGCCAGCATGGCTCCTCTCCTGGCTCTCATTCCTCTCCTCTGAGCGACCACCTTGGTGCCCTCGGGCCTTAACATTTGGCTGACCCGAAGAGAAATCCCTCGCCGGGGCAGGGCTAGATCAAAGGGTTTGGAGAAGGTGGAAGAGGAAGGCAGAGGGGGAGCTGTGACAGCAGTGACAAGTGTGATGGCTACCCTTGTACGTGAAAAAAGATATTACTTAAAAAGAGTCCAAATAAAACATCACAAAGTATAAAAATTCAGGCCTCTTTTGTTGTTGCCAAAACTTTAGGGGGTGAAATTAACTCATTCATGCAAAGAAATGGCCCTCTATGCTTTATCTGAAGACAAAGTACCATGCTTCCACCAACAGACAAAACAAAGGTAACCATCACACTGTTAATGAAGCACCAGGCTCTGTCCATCTTTTTGGGGTGGGCACACCTCCACCAGCATCGCTGGGTAATCACAGAGAAGAAGATTTTCATCTGAGGGAACTGCCGGTGGTCATCCTGCAAGTACTGCTTGATCCCTGTTATGAGCTTCACACTCTTGATGTTCCGACATCATTTCCACCACAGTGGATCTACAGGAAATCCGGCACAGCTCTTCCTCCAAGCCACTGATGGAAGAAGGGGAGGAGATTTCTCCAAACCCTGCCATCCCAGCCAAACCACTGCACCCAGGCATCCAGACCAGACTAGCCGTCCCCAATAATAAATAATAAATAATTTTATTTTTCCATATTTTACCAGGCTGTAGTATGCTCTGAGTGTGGAATGGATGTAACTTAATATTAAAAACTTAATAATAATAATTTTTGATTCTCAAGTGAAAAATCTATTGCTGAAATCACAGTAGGCAAGATCTGATTTCCAGATATTTCCATGACATTTATACTTACTCTTGACCTCTGTGGAGGATGTCAAATTGTTTAATGCAATTGCTGTTTGTCTAAAATGACAAAACAGAAATTCTAATAATTCTATAGTGACTAACTATCCATTCAAATATACTGACACTACATGAGAAAAGCAGATTGAGTCAGTGTGAGGAGGTAGAGACGCGTCGTCCATCTCTACAG